TGTTTATCTTCAATTCCACCGATCCTGTCTTCCAGCATTTGAAATCTGCTCGTCAGCCCTTCTGTGACACTGTCCATTTCTGAAATCTTGTTGTTTATCTTTTGGATTTCTAATTGTTGTTTTTGTGTTTTTCTAGCTGTGAATTTATTTTAGCATTTTGTTCCTGTATTGTTTTCCTGAATTCTTCCATTTTTTTTGTCTGTATTTTCCATGAATTTGGCAGCCTTTTCCATGAATTTGTCTATTTTTTCCTCATTTTTGTCTGCTTTTTACTTCAACTCTTGGATAATTCTGAGAATTAGAGATTTCAATTCCCTATCAGGTAGTTCTAGTGCCTTTTCTTCTACTGGAAACTCATCTGGTGTTTTATTTTAGATGTCTACTGGAACCATCCTGTCCTGTTTTTGTAAATGTTTTCGTATTGTCTGCTGTCTTCAGGGCATTCAGTAGTTATTTTTCTCGTTTATTGATTGTGGATTTGTTTGTTTCGTCCTTTTTTTTTTTTATTTGGCTGTGTCTGAGTAGGCAGGCCCTGTGTTCTTTGTTGTTTGCTCATCTGTGGGCACGATTCTTTTCACCTCCTTCTCCAATTGGCAGAGTCAGTCACTCAGATATGATACATTAGGGTAGGTCTAGCTGAAGAAGAGTTGCTGGGATGGGTTGCTTGTGGCACTTACTACAGCCACCAGGGTGGCTTGATAATCAGTGCAGGGCAGGTTCCGGTAGGCCATGCCTGTGCTGCTTGGTGGTGTGATGTTAAGCACACAGTGCAGGTAGGCAGGATGGAGGGCAGAGATCGTGATGTGCGGAGCTAAGATGGGTATGGGAGAGATGAAAGAGGAACAGGAGCCAAAAACATAAAAACAAAAAAATAGTGCTAGTGGAGCTTGCCATTGGAGTGGAGAGATGAGAGACTATGAAATGGAGAAAAACAAAAAGGGGAAGAAAAAGAAAAAAAGAAAAGAAAGAAAATAATGAATAGATAATAACTAGCAAGAAAAAAGAAAAGAAAAGCTCTCAGGGATCCCACCGGTGTGGCTACGAGGTCTGGGTAAGTTGTTCCCACTTGTTGAAGTGCAGCCTGGCTAGAAGGCATAAAGGTGTCACTCAGCGCCAGGTATTCAGGGGACAGGAAGAGAAGGAAGGTGTAGAGAGACGAGAAACTGAGTAATGAAGAAAGACGAAAAGGGAAAACAAAACAAAACAAATTAAAAAAAAGAACAAGAAAACCTCCCAAAAAAACGGGGGGGAAAAAAAACACAGAAAAAGAAATGCACTCAGGGATCCCTCTGCATGTCTGTGCAAGCTGAGGAGTTAGGTCCCAAGCCGTGCAGCACTGCCTGGCCAGAACGGGCTTCCAACTCAAGAAAAGAAAAAGAAAACAAACAATTCAAAACAAACAAACCAAAAGAAGCCCTGGGATCCCACCAGCATGGCAGCACAGACCAGGAAGCAGTTCCACACTCGAGTGAAGCTCCACAGCCCCTCAGGAAGAAGCAAAGATGGTGTACAGAGCCAGGTATTTGAGTAAAATGAAGGGGTGGTGGTGACAGGTAAGGAAGAAATCAAAAGAAGTGGAAAAAAGCAACACCAGCAGTGAACAAATGGCACTCAGGGAGTTGGCCAGTGCGAGCAGGTGGATTTCAAGCAGCCGGTGTTTCCTGGCCAAGAGACTGTGTCCACAGGAAGCAGAGGAGGCCGAGTGGAGGTGAAGAAGGGTAAGGGGTGGGAAAGCATATATTCCAGTTGGTTGTTCTGTCTCCTGCTGGAAGCTCTGTGAAGCTGCTTTCTCGTACCCCCTATTTGCTGGTCTCTGATAGGAGTCCAAGATGGCAGATCCATGCTGCATTAGCTGATAGGGGACGTCTGTGTGTATGTCTCCTCATTCTCCGTTCTCTGTCAGTTTCTTATTCCATCTGGTGCTTGGCTGAGTTCTTTATCTCTTCATTTGATGTTTAGGGTTTCAGACTTGCTGTTTTCTCTGTTTACCTTAGTTTTTAGGATCTTTGCTGTGGAGGGACGGCATGGTGCTTCTGCCTAGAGTGCCATGGTGCCAGAAGTTCTGACACAGTAATTGTTTTTGAAAGAGAGGTGAGTAAAATTGACTTACAGTTCTCTTTTTTGCTCATTTTAGCTGATAAATGTGATGATAGCTTTGTCCATCGGGATTGTATCAGTTGTTGCCCGCCAACCTGCACATTTGAGAAGGAATGTCTTGGCAGCAATCTCCATTGTCTTGATGGATGTTACTGTCCAGATGGTAAGTGCCTTGTTTTTGCCTCATGGCAACTGGTACTCGTGGCAAATTAGCATTGCTGCACTTTTCTGTTTTTGTTGAATTTTGTTCTTGAAACAAATTGGAGCAATGGCTGCTCGTCTTTAATAGAAGGTCCATTTCTTTGTAAATTTCCCAGGAAATTTGGAATCTGGAGTACTGAAGATACATGTGGCAAATATTTTCTTTTCTTAAATATTTAAAGATATTTCATAATTTCTTTTCTCTTTCTTTTTTGTTTTTTAAGATAAAAGCAAGTCCAGAGAATAAGTCTTCACATTTTGGCAGCACAAGGTTTTTAGTCTTGAATATAGTTTTGATATGCATGGATTTTTTTTCCTTTTGCAATTATTTCATGTATTGATTGCCAAACCCCTAAGATTGTTTTATCCCCTCTCTGCTCTTACCCATAGTCTATCCATCTTCCAAGACTCAAGTAAAGTTCTTCTTCTACATTAAAACTTCACCTAGGTACTCTGATTCTCTGAAATTCTCTGATAACACATTTTCTGTCATATCAGTTAACTCCCTTTAAATGTTGTCTTAAATTTATCTTATTTTTCATATTAACAGAACAAGTATTTATTGAGTAACCTTTAAGGGCTACTTATTATGCTAGATCTAGGGTATGCAAAGATGAACATTCCCTGTATTCTATGAGTGGAAGGTATATTTCTTGAGATCAAGGATTAAAATTGATAATATCATGCATTGGATCTAAAGTAATGCTGAACATTTAAGTCATTGTTGACTAAGGCCAAAGTCTGAGAGACAGAGTCCTGGAATCATGAAATTTTTGTTCCATATCTCTATAATTTCTATTAATTTTATGATGATTGTAAACCGTATTTTTTTATGACGTACATTTTTCTCTATAAAGTTAAAAAGTAGATTATTGTAATCATTTGTGATTTATGAAACACTTGAATATTTTCTAGAAAAATGAAATTTAAAATAAAAAACTCAAGTGAATGATAACACTATTTTATCACATCTATATTGGTATTTATAACAGCTTAAGATTAGCATCACTGAAGAATAAAACCAAGAACTGGTGCCAGCTGTGTTTCAGGCACTCAGTGCTCCCCTAAATTATCTAATCTTCCAATTACCATAAAACGGAGACTCAGATAGATTAAAAGTACCACGGTAAGTGACAGAGGTGGGATTTAAATTTTGGACTGACTCTGCTGTAGTGATAGGCATTTATATAGATCTTTGAAGATTTGCTCCAATGCTTTTATTTTTACAGATTGAAAAAATAGAATACCAGATATATTAGGTGATTTTTTCCAAGGTCATGTAGTTAGAACTAGTTGGAACCCAGATCTATTGACCTCAGTCCATTGTTCTGTCAGTGCTACTCAAAGTATGGTCTGTGGACCAAGGTCAGTTCTTAACTTTTTGTTACCAGGTAACAATGAGATAAGGAATTTACTTCAGAATATAAATCCATACTCCAAAGTATAAACCAATGCTTCCTTCTGCTGGAGCCCTGGTAGCACAGTAGTTAAGAGCTTGGCTGCTAACGAAAAGGTCAGCAGTTTGAATCCACCAGCTGCTCCTTGGAAACCCTATGGGGCAGTTCTACTCTTTCCTATAGGGTCGCTATGAGTCAGAATCAACTTTATGGCAACAGATTTGGTTTTTTTGCCTAGCTCTTTATTATCTCTCTGACCATAGTGTAAGTCTGTCTCATTTGAGGATAAACAGAGACTAAAACAATAAAATACCCTCTCCTTTTCCTTCCTTTCCCTCAAAATCAAGAAAGCACTGTCAAGTTGCCTTTATGCTGAATGGTCAACTTTTAGTTTTTGATGGCATGTTGTGGGATAAGAAAGTTGAAATAGAGCCTTATAAAGTACCTACTGATTGAGATGGAGCCAGATCCTGGGTAACCTTCTTAAGAGTAAACAGTTTGTATCCCTATCACCTGGTATAAGCCATGTGTTCACCAAAAGTTGAGTGAATTATTAAATTCAAAGAATATAATCTTTATTGTTTCTTTTGAGAATTTGATTTATATTTTTCTTAAATAGGCCTCATAATGGACAATGGAACTTGCATCTCCTTGGAAAATTGCCCATGTATTTTTCATGGATTAGCTTATGCAGTTGGTTCAAAAATTGAACAAGAATGTACTGAATGGTATGTGATCAATGTACAGCCAATTATTTCTGGGTACCTAACTAGCTGACAACTTTAACATGACAGATGCTTAAAGGAATATACTTGTTACTGATTTTCTTCCAAAAATTTCAAGACGCAATTGCCATTTTATTTTAACTCCATGGAGGAAGGGCATCTGTATTTTCTTTGATGATGTAAGTCTTATTACTTCCTTTGGTATTTCCATAAAATAATATACCCATGTGATGTGTCTGTTGTATTTCCTTATTGTTTGTAATCACTAATTTGCAGACACTTTTACTCTTAGAATTTGCTGGTGCTTCTGGGTTTCTTTACTGAGTACTGTAAAAAGTGACTTTCCATACTGCCAGTTTTTGGCCATGATTAGAAACATTTAGAATTTCTTATTCAATTAGCTAAATTAAGACTCTAGGCAAACATGATATCCCTCCAGAATAGTCATGAAAAGAAATCAAGGTCTAAATGTCATCAGGCCCTTTTCCCATTGGTGTTATTATAACTCAGAGTCAGTGTGTATAACTGAAGTGCAGTTGGATAACTGTGTTCTTGATGCTGATTTGAGTTCCTGTCTTGCAGGCACTCTGCTTCTGTCCTCCAGGTCTCATATCTATTTTGTTAAGAGTGGAAGGTAGAATTTATCTTACATGAGAGGATATATCTTTCTTCTCTGTTTTAATGTCTGATGAGCCTCAAAATGATTTTCTTAATTTAGACTTTAGTAGAAGAGCTAACTTATTAATCTTGACTCTTTATGTGCATTCCTCTAATGATAGAGGTAAACACTTTTTGTGTGTGGGTGACATTTTTAAGAATTTATTTTTGTTGTTGAGAACATACACAGCAGAACATACACCAGTTCAACAATTTCAACATGTACAGTTCAGTGACGCTGATTACATTCTTTGAGTTGTGCAACCATTCTCACCCTCCTTTTTCAAGTTGTTCCTCCCCTATTAACATAAACTCACTGCCCCGTAAGTTTCCTATCTAATCTTTTGTCTTGCTGTTTTCACTTTGATCCCATATAGATATATCTTAAAAGAGCACAAGGCTCAAGGCAGACTTTTTTTTCTTCTTTCTTTCTTTTTTTTAAATTGTGCTTTAAGTGAAAATTTACAGTTCAAGTTAGTTTCTCATACAAAAATTTATACACACATTGTTATGTGACGCTAGTTGCTCTCCTATACTGTGACAGCACACTCCTCCTTTCCACCTTGGATTTCCTGTGTCCTTCAACCAGTTCCTGTCCCTTTTTGCCTTCTCATCTCACCTCCAGATAGGAGCTGCCCGTTTAGTCTCATGTATCTACTTGAGCTAAGAAGTACACTCTTCACGAGTATCATTTTATGTCTTATAGTCCAGTCTAATTTATAGCAGACATTCTTTACTAGTTAAGCTAAACTATTGTTTGGTTTTAAGAAAACTTCAGGGGATATTTTTGGTTTAAGGTTTAAAAGTTATCTCAGGGCAATAGTTTGAGAGGGTTCGTCCAGCCTCCATGGCTTCAGAATGTCTGAATTCCATGAAAATTTGAAATTCTGTTCTACATTTCTCTCCTTTTGATCAGGAATGTGTGTGACTTTTTTTAGTCAAATCACTGAAAGAAGGACATAAAACAGAAGTTCTCTGCTTCTCAGTAATTGTTTCTTTACTATTCTGTTCTCCCCTAGTATCATCTTCAGTGATTTTAAAGTATGATATGCAATAGATAACAATTTAGGTGATAGCCAACAAAGTTATCAGTCAATTGAGCTTTTGCAGAAGTATTTTTCAAGTCAAGACACATCTTTACCAGTCCTAACCAATGAACCTGTGGGCATGAATATTTTGATACATTAATCAATACATTGATGTAAACATTGACATAGTTTATATCAGTAGATTAATATTTTTAAAAATTTCATTTAGTGTCTGTGTTGGCGGAATTTGGAACTGTACTGAACATGACTGTCCAGGTAATCTTTTAAAAAATTTTTTTAAGGTACGAAGATATATATACCAAGAGATGTAGTGATGTATCAATGCAGGCATTCAGAGAATAAATGGAAAATTGAACAAATGATAAACTTTTGAGCAGGCAACTTTGGTAAAAATTTCTTTAAGAAGTTCAAATACTACATAAACTAAAAAGTAGTGTGGAAGAGCTATCATTTAACAAATTATAAATTAATTTGAATAATCTAGTAATTTTTCAAATCAAGAAGTTTTAGAATTGTTTTTGATATATGATTATTCTAAGTTGACTTCCCACTTTTTAAGGAAGTAGGCATATAATTTCTTCTTCCTCTTCCTTCTCTATCTCCTCCTGATTCCCCTCCCCCCCCCTTTTTTTTTGTAGTTCAGTGCTCTGTTGTGGGTGATTCTCATTTTACAACTTTTGACGGTCGACATTATTCGTTCATTGGCATGTGCCAGTACATCATTCTGAAAGGCACTGGAAAAGATAGATTCACAATTACTTTACAGAAAGCTCCCTGTGAGCAGGTAAGAACATCTTTCTTTAATCTCAAAGTGATCAGAGCCATCCACATTTAATTTTAATTTTTTTTGGGGGGGTGGCTGGCTCAAACTTTGTATCTAGATTAACAATGATAACATAAATGGAAATAGTTATTTTCTTCATAACTAAGACACCATTGGTTGTTAAGATGCACCATTATTTTATGTACTACAAAGAAAAAAAATGCTGGTAATTAATCTATGACACATTGTTGACTATATGGTACACCCTGATTTCTGAGATGTTAAAATGTGAGAACAAATATGTGTCATAGACTAGATGAACTACTGTATATTTAAATTTTCTTTTTTAAAAAGTGATATTTTTATGTATAGTTTATGGGCATTTTGTGCATGATTATGTAATGGATCTAAAATTTAAAGAGATGGTTTTTGACAGAATTGAACAGATTTCTTATCATTCCAAGCACATATGATGGATTGCTTGTCATGCTGGAAAACTTATTTTGGGTCTTTTTCTTGAAATAATGAACACATCAGTCATTTGTAAATAAGAAACTAAGATCTTTCTTTCATTCATTTCTCAAGAATTTGCCCAAATCTTTGATTTTCCAGTTTTGTTCTAAGATGGTTATTTCCACTAAAAGTTCTGAAATATTTTATTTGTCTTGTTTTCTGTTCGATTTTTTTTTCTTTGCAATATTTCAGAGTCCGAATTAGCTTTCTACATAGAATCCTAATTCTCTTGGTTATCTTTATTGATTTTTGAATGTTTAATATACCAATTCAATATATCAATGAAATGAATTTTGGAAGGTATATTATGTGCTATGGAAAACATAATTTTTGGTGTTTTATTGAAAACTTTTATTTATTTGTCTCTGTCTCCATCTCTCTCTCATTCCTTTAATTGATAATTTGATTTTTATGCAGAATCTTGGCTTAGTATGCCTTCATTCAGTAACTCTAATTCTGGAGGATGATTTTAGCAAACAAGTGACCCTTAGTAGGGGAGGACAAATCCTGACTAGTCCTAATCAAGGCTTCAATCTGAATGGTAAGAAGCAATGCTAATGGTATACTTTCTTAAACAAACAAACAAACAAAGTGGAGTCTTTTCCCATTGCCTGACTAACCTAAGCTTTATTGAGTTCCTTTGTGTCGCCAGATCTTCAGCTAGAGATAGTGGAGACACCATGTTTATGGGACCTAATATTTACCTTAAATGGCCAGAGTTTGGAAGATGAGAGAGACAAACATACAGCCACTTACAATAAAATGTGATGAATTCGAAGCTATTCATAGGGTCTTTGGGAGTCTAAATGGGGAGCAGCTCACCCAGCCCTGGGAAGGGGTGTGCATCAGGAGTTTTCTGAAGGAGGTGATCTCTCATTGGGCATTTAAAACTGAGGAATTACTCAGCTGAAGAAGGTGGGGAGAGTGTTCCATGCAGAGCAAGGAGGTCTGAAAATGTGTAGTATGTTTAGGGGGAAACTATAACTAGTTTGGCGCTGCTTTAGCATTAAGATGATAAGTGGAGAAACCAGGAAATGAGGTAAAGGAAGAACGCGGCGATGAGACTAGGGAAGGCCACATGCATAGACCATCATACAGTGTGATTTTCCCAGGACATGCTCATTTATACCTGCGTTCCAGAATAATTATAATAATACTCTCACTCTCAGAAATGTCCCAGTTTATATTACAAATTACATGGTCACCCTACTCAGGTGTCACGCTAAGGAATTTGAACTTGATCATATATTAGGTTGAAGCATATGAAATTGCCATTATCTGGCTATTTTGACTTACAAAGATGGAGTTTTAAGAAGACCAGTATGTTCTTTTTTTTTTTAATACCACTATGACAACAGTGTAACAGTGTGGAAGTGGATTTCAGAGATGATAGGAGATGTGGAGAACAGTTAGGGTATTACTAAAGTAGGGCATGCAAGAAATGATGCAGAAATGACCTAGGGCAGTGACAGTAGAGATGGACAGAAAAAGACAGTTTGAAAAAAATGTTTAGGAAAAAAAAAAGTGATCTGAACTTGGTGATTGTTTGGATTGGGGTTGCTTGTAATCATGATAGCGAGGGAGATGAAGTGATCAAAGAATGATTCTCAGGTTACTGGCTTTGGTTACCAGGTTGATGGCAGAGATTGTGACAAGGACACAGGAGAAATGAAGAGCAACACTTCTGATGGCAAAAGTCATCAGTTCAGTTTTGAACACAAGCTTTTTGTCTCTCAAGGTGTCTCATAAAATGGTGCTTATCAAGTGCTGTGTCCCCCCTTTTTGCTGACGGTCGCAAGGGAATGAGGAATTGTTGAGGAAAATGCCACTTCATTTTGGAATCCTAACTAATTTTGGGGAAAATTACACACACACACACACACACGCACACACAGGTTTTAAAAAAGAGATCAGATTTTAAATTGTCTATGGACTGCTCACCTCGTGAGATACTTGTCAACTGAAATTATATGTTGACCTGATAATCTATTAAAAATATCTGCTGAGACCAGAAATGCAGGGAGAGAAGAAGGGAAATTGATAAAAGAAACCAGGCACAAGGTGGCAAAAATAGGTCCTGGAGCCCAGGAGCAGGATCAATGGACTGCAAGCCTGGCTTCCCCACCTCTTGGGAGGAGAGTCTTAATGTTGTAGTATGTAACGTTTCCAAACACTGCCTATGACTCTCAAAACTGATTTGTGTATGTTCTTTTCATGCAGGAATTGTTGAAATTCAGACTCTGTCATCCTTATTTATTCTCCTAAAAACCACATTTGGTTTAAAGATCCTGTTTGCTACAGATGGGGAAAGAATTTATATTCAGCTCACTAGTGCATGGAAAAGAAGAACATTAGGTCTGTGTGGCACTTTTAATGGGAACATAAGGGATGATTTTCTGTAAGTATTGATTTCTTTTTAAAAAAAAAAAAAAAAAAACCAAGCTAGTTGCTGTCGAGTTGATTCCGACTCATAGTGACTCTATAGGACAGAGTAGAACTACCCTATAGGGTTTCCAAGGAGCAACTGGTGGATTCGGACTGTTGAACTTTTGGTTAACAGCCAAATGCTTAACCACTGTGCCACCAGGGCTCCTTAACTAATGTAATTTAAAGACTGGTAATTTAGAGGATATAATTTTTTTTTCATTAAAAAATGTTTACTTAACTAATAGTAGCTTAGCAGTCACTGTTCTAAAAACTCTACATGAATCACATGTTTAAACTTTATAACAATCACCTGACTAGTAGCTATGCTTCACAAATAAGGAAACTAACTAAGGTCCCAAAGTGACAAATAAATCACCCAAGGTCGTGTAGCTGACAGATAGCGGAGCCTGGTTTTCAATCTAGGCAGTGTGACTCAGAGCTTGTGGGCTAACCATGACCCACCTATCAAGCTTAACATTATTTTATTTTTGAAAAGTCACTGCTTTAAAAAAAAATCAATATTATTTGATATTAATGGTAGTAAATTATATTTTTAAAGATATTAATATAATTTGGTATTAATGATACCTCTAAAGCAACATTTTGGCCTCTAAGTTAATTGAGTTGTGTGATAGTTTGTGTTTCATTGAAAGAAAAGCAATAATGGAAGAATCATATTACATAATACTTGTATTGACAAAGAACTTTCCACATACATGTAAAAAGAAGCAATATATAATTTAATGTAAATACTTTGAACACCTATTATTGTGCTAAGCACTGTGGGTCACTTTAAGCAGGAGAAGACGTGGTTCCCATCCTCAAAGAGCATATATTGCAGATCAGTTGATCAGGAGGGGATAACAACCTTTAAGAAACAATTAGTATTAAGCAAAGTATTAATCATTGATACATATATAAATTCTGAGGTAATTAAAAATGAAACATTGATCTGTGAGTATAAATACAGTAGGAATTTAGAGCTGGGGTAGACAGGGTACATTTACAGAGAAGCCATTCTCCAAATACTGTGGTTTCTTAAAATGTATATATGTATATTTATATTTATCACATCAGCATATTTTCTTCTTTCTGCCTGGGTGTCTTTCCCCTTTCTAAACTTTTTAGTGAACTCCCATTTATTGTTAAATCCAACTCAGACATTATTTGCTCTACAAAAATTATTAATGTTCCACCAAAGTTAATTCTGCCTGTCCATTACCTATGAAAATCTGTTGTTTACCAGCCTAGTTTCTACACAAAACTATGAGAGTGTTGTGAATAAGAATCAGGTCTTTGGTCTTTGTATTCCTAGGACTGCTATAGAACCTAGTAGATAGTCAGACTGAACGGTGGTAAAACATGTAATGGAACATTGAGAAGAGAATTTGGATGATCAAGGAGAACTGCCGTTTACAATTAAAAATATCAAAAGACAATTTTATTTGTTTTGTCTCCCATGTGATCAATTTGATTTTAGGTTATTTAATCTTTTTATTTATTTATTTATATTCTTCTTTAGGTGAACGTTTACGGAGCAAATTAATTTCTCATTAAGCAGTTAATACACAAATTGTTTTGTGACATTGATTGCCAACCCCATGATGTGTCAACACTCTTCCTTTCTCTGCCCTGGGTTTCCTGTTTTCATTTGTCCAGTTTCCCTGTCCCTTCCTGCATTCTCATCTTTGCTGTTCGGCTGGTGTGCCCATCAGTCTCATATACATGATTGAACTACGAAGCACATTCCTCTTGTGTGTTACTGTTTGCTCTACAGACCTGCCTAATCTTTGGCTGGAGGGTGAACCTCAGGAGTGACTTAACTACTGAGTTAAAAGGATGTCCTGGGGCCATACTCTTGAGGTTTCTCCAGTCTCTGTCACACCAGCAAGCCTGGTCTTTTTTTTTTTTTGTGAATTTGAATTTTGTTCTACGTTTTTCTCTCGCTCTGCCCGGGACCCTTTGCTGTGTTCCCTGAAGTCTTTTTATTTTATTTATTTGTAGGTCAGAATATTGCTATCTTTATCACATTTGTGAAACTGAAAACTGTAGTAAGTGGCTTAGCTAAGATGTCCAGAAAAGACAGTAAGCCTTCTTTCTCTTCCTTGTTTGTCAGTTACAAATCAATATTTAACAGATGGAGGATCTTTTTGCCTCTTTCTAAGGCAATAGTCTCCTCAGTGTGTAAACATTTGGGCATGATAACAGTGCGGGATAATATTTCAGAGTCAGAGATAACTTTCGAACATTGTTTAGCTTTCCAGCATAATTAGTTAAAATTTTTTACTTCACAAAGGTTAATGCGAATCTGTAAGTATAGTGGAGTAGAAAATATTAATTACTTGAAAATATATATCATATGTCTTGTTATAGTAAGTCAGCTATGGCGAACAGAAAGGTTATTTTACAAAATGAACTGCAAATAAATAAATTGGCCTACATTTTTGCTTTTTTTTGGAAAGATGAACTAAATAGGAGAACCAAGCTCTGAGTCACTTGCTCCTGTGAACCCTAACTACACTCATCGTACTATTAACCTATTTTACTGCCTTTCAGAGGGGTGGGAAAAAAGGAGAGGGAAAGTGTAACAGAAGAAATTGCAAGTGCCAGTCATGCCATTTCTCTGAGTTTCAGTGTTCTTACTTGTGAAATGAGATTTTGAATTAGGTCTTAGTTAAGATTCTTGATAGTTCTAGAAAGGTTCGGTGTTGGGGAGGAGGAAAAGGAAGGGAAGGGGAAAGGATTGGGTTGAGAGAGGGGCCTTGTGGGATGGTTTGTGTGCCTGTCAATGCGTCGTTTTTTGTCTTCTCCCATTCACTGTGGTGAGAAGCTCCATATAGTTTATGGTCACTTAGTCAAATGGTAACAAAAGTAGTTAATCTCTTAGGACACTATAGAGAGCAGAGATAAAGCTTATTCTACTTACTTGGCCATGTTGTGGCAATTAATGCAGTCAGGGCTTGAGGTATGGTCAAAAGCTTTCTATAGGAGACCTAATCCAACTTGATTCCCTAAGTAGTTTTGACAGTATGTGGCATAGTGTCCAGCAGGGATCATCACTCAATAAATGTTGGCTGATGAATTAATAGAACTCCATGGCTGCTGGAGATGGAATTTCAGTGTTTGGCTCCTAAACATTGTTGTTCTGGATAAACTTGACTTCAGAAGGGTAGATATTTCTCTTCTGTTTTGGTTTGTGAGCAAACTCAGATGAAGGGTGCCTTTTATACCATTTTCCTTAATTTTTATTTCATTGTTTGCCCAATTTCACCATGGAAGCTCGGTATTTCAGGCCTGACAATGGAAATTGAAATATAGAACCAGAAATATAGACTATTTGTTCTTTGGGACATTTGTCTTTATCCTGAAAAGAATCATGTAAACTACCCAGTTCTGCCCCTGCTCTTGCCCCTAAACCACACACACGCACACTAACATTTTGGTTGTTCGAGTGATTTTTTATTTAGTGAGTGCAAACTGGACTTGAATCCTGGCTCTGAAATTTACTAGGTGAACTTTAATTTTTCTTCAAGCTTCTGTTTTCTCTGAAAAATGGGGATAATGATGCTTTCCTTACAGAGCTGAAATTAAGATTAAATAAGACATGTATGTCCACACTTTAGCACACTATAAAGTCTCAGTAACAGGAAGCTGATAACCATGTGTATTTTTTGAATTAATAGAAAGTTTCTAGCTCTAAGATTTCTTGATAAATTAAAAAAATAGTACTCTTTTCTTTCAATTTTTGAAGAAGAGTTCAAAAAATGAGAGGAATGAGAGAGACTAAGATGAATGTTATTTTTGCTTTCTAGTTCTCCATCAGGCATGATAGAAGGTACCCCACAACTTCATGCAAATGCATGGAGAGTCTCCTCCACTTGTTTTGCACCCGTTCATGTCCCTATAGTGGACCCCTGTAACATTAATCAACAAAACAGTAAGTCTTCTTTTCTACATGTAAACTTAGGGAAAAGTCCTATTTATTATTATACTTCTGTAAAATTAAATAGTGATTTTAAATTCTGGGTTTCTTCATTATGATAACAGCAATGCCATTCCTTATGTAATTTTGTTTACTATTACGCCTTTATGTATGCCTTTTTATGTAAACTAGGTTCTTTTAGGGGCCCTGGTGGCACAGTGGTTAAGAGCTCAGCTGCTAACCAAAAGGTTTGCAGTTCAAATCCACCAGCTGCTCCTTGGAAACCCTATGGGGCAAATTCTACTCTGTCCTGTAGGGTTGCTATGTAAAGAAAGTGACTATTTTATTTATCATTATGCATTCATAAATTTACTTTAGATATTCAGAAATCTCATCTTCCCAAATGTGCGCTACATTCTTTTAATGCTTTCAGATTCTTTAAATGCTAAAGAAAAATCTCTGGAAATATTCTACTGATGTTATTATAGTTATGGGATGTTCAACTTCAGTTCCATAGTGTGACGGCCCATGTGGCTTCTCATGTTCATTACCTTCATATTACAAGCTCCTAGTCGAAGCACATATTAGGGCTTCATAAGCAGGAAACCAGTGATCCAGAGAAACTTTATGCCCTCAAGTGAGCAGCAATTTGAGATGGTCGTGCTCCTGAGATCCAGTTTACAAGGACGGTGCAATTCACATGCCAGGGGTTTTTGGATGTTTGTCACTAAAGCCACAGCAAACTGCTCAATAAAAGAGGACACTAGTGTTTTTTACTCCCCTTTCTTTTTTGAATCACTTTTTGAAAGAAAAGTAACGTGAATGTTTAAATATATTTTATTATAATTTTGATTTGTTAAAGGACATGCTGCTTTAATTAAATAATGCTCTTTTCTCATTTTTATGTAGTTTTTTGATACAGTACTAATATTGGGTGAGCATCTGTTAGAAGCCAGTACAAATTTTGGATTTAAAAGTGATTTTGGGAAGGTTTATGTTGATTGTCATCTGATCTTTATTATTAACTTATAGTTTTGGTGTACTGGAAAGAACACACCATTGTTAACCTTCTTGGCCATTTTTCCTCTCTACAATAAAAGGGCTAGGCTAAATTTCTGCCTGTGATATATTAATACTTTTAATCT